TCATGAGAAGCTAATGCCTGGTGATCTGTCACTGGCTCCCATCACACCCGGTGGGGCTGTCTGGTTGCAAGAAAGCAAGCTCAGAGCCCCCACTGATCCTGCATGACGGTGAGTTGTACGATTGTTCCAATATGTATTACAATGTCATAATAATACATATAAAATGCACAGTGAATGGAACGTGCTGGAACCATCCCAAACCATCCCCCTGCCTCCGGTCTCGGGAAAAACTGTCTTCCACGAGATGAGTCCCTGGTGCCAAAAAGGCAGAGGGCCGCTGCCTTCGCATTTCTCCCAGTGCCCGCCTGCCGGTGCAGCACCTTTACACATCTGAAAAAGTCTTTGATTCACCTGCGTTTATGCTGGGCATTTATTTTCAAATTGACACGTGCGATTTCTGTTTGTTTTGCATTTTGAACACTGCTTCACTGTCCCGGCTGGGATTGCTGCTGACAAGAATATTCTGCACAGAATTTATGTCTGTTTTTAATTTTTTTCTCTGTCATTAGTGCAAAGCAATTGGATGATGACTCTCTGATGCAGCATTCTTCATATTTCTATGCTTAGCTGTTCATGGAATCCCTGGGTTCTGAAAATTTACACTTGGCGACAAATTTGAAAACATCTTGGCAACCATTTCCTGCATATCTGTTCCTGTCCCTTCTTCCTCTCTTCTGTGACCCTAATGGCACACAGAGAGTGTAGGGCTGTTGGCCCCACAGGGTCGCGGGGCGTCCCTTATGCTGTGCTGAGGTGCAGGATCCGAGAAGTAAAGAGACAGGACACTGAAGAACTGGGGAAGAGCAGCTGGACTCAGGGGCCACGCCACCTGTGAGTGGAGACTGGCGAGGCCCCGAACATCCAGAAGCGTCTGTAATTATTAGGTACAAGTCAGGGTGGGGCAGGGTCGTGAGTGAGGTCATCATCTATAGGCTTAGTGATAGGGCAAACATAATCACTTGAGTAGCAGGCAAGGAGGCCACCCCATTAGATCACCTGGGCAGAGACGTGGGCTGTGCGCAGTAGGGGCCCGTGCCGGGCGCAGTAGTAGAGGGTTATGTACAAAGGAGGGATCCACCCCCATTAGGCCACTGAGGCAAGGAGGTTTGGGCTGTGTGCAACAGGCGTCGTGCACAACACTTCTTATCTGGGGGCTGGAGACTTCAAAGGGCTTCTAACAGAAGGATACTGTAAGCTTAATGCAGTGGGAGCTGACAGACGTGTGCTCTTCTCTTAAGATATTTATGGGACGATGATTTGGGCTAGCACAGAAGCGGGAAGAGACTTACAGGGTGTACAGCCGCCGTGACTGGTCACACCAGAGGGTTCCTCTCCCTCGGTTACTTCCAGGATCTCAGGCCTGAGGCCGACTTTCCACAGGAACTGGATGCAAGGTGCTACAGCTCCTTTATCGGGAGGAGAGGCTCCTGCTCCAAGCCTGCCGTACAGCGTGTGCCCTTTCAGGCAGGGACGCCGCCGCCTGGGTCTTTGGTTCTCATCCTGGTCCGGCTGTTTTCTCATGTACTGCTTCTGTTCTGTGACTGCTCTAGGCATTCCTCCTACTACAAACTACTATATGGTTCTATGGAAGGATTCTATACATCAGCACTAAATGTGTCGGTACAGCTCCAACTACATCCGTTATGTGATTATATAGAAAGATCATATGGAACTAAGCATGATTATATATAAGCGAGATACAGTAAGCAGTGAGTTCTTACATGATTATATAGAAAGATCATATGGGACTAAGCATGATTATATATAAGCTAGATATAGTAAGCAGTGAGTTCTACTTCTTCAGGCACTAATTGTGCCTGGGGTCTACACAGTTCTCCTTCCTCGGTGCCTTTGGGGGGTGTTACCCACAAGAGAGCAGCCCGCAGCTCCCACATGCTCTGTTCGCACTGACAGTCTTGGCTTTTCTTCTGTGATTCCTTTATATTTTTATTTTATTTTATTGTGTGTGTAAATATGTGTGTGTGTGTATGTATGTATGTATGTGTATGTGTGTGTGTGTATATACATATATATGAGACAGAGTCTTGCTCTGTCACCCAGGCTGGAGTGCGGTGGCATGATCTCGATTCACTGAAACCTCCACCTCCTGAGTTCAAGCAATCCTCCTGCCTCAGCCTCACAAGTAGCTGGGATTACAGGCATGTGCCACCACACCTGGCTAATTTTTGTATTTTTAGTAGAGACGGAGTTTCATCATATTGCCCAGGCTGATCTCGAATTCCTGACTCCTGTGATCTGCCCACCTTGGCCTCCCAAAGTGCTGCGATTCCAGGCGTGAGCCAGCGCTCCTGGCCCTGTGATTCCTTCTTAGTAGTTTCTAATGCTGCACTTCCGTTCACTCATCTGTCATCTGTAATCTGCTGTTCATCCCACACTGTGCATTTTTCACCTTAAACCTATTTCTCATTTTTAGAAGTTTGATTTGTATCTTTTAAAACTGCTATGCCCCCATCATATATGTTCATGCTTTGCAAACACACAAAATACACTTACAAATCTGTGTTAACACGCTTGCGCACTGAGACTTCATCTGTGTGACTGATGTTTTCTTCCCATGTGGTTCCCGTTTTCCTGTTTCTTTGCATGCCTGGTGACGTGCCTTTGATGTCAGACATTTTATTGAATGAATTTTGCATTGATGAGAGTGGGACTGCCTTTGTATTCTTTTAAATAAAGATGGAGTTTCACTCTTGTTGCCCAGGCTGAAGTGCTGGAGTGCAATGGCGTGACCTCCGCTCACCGCAACCTCCACCTCCCAGGTTCAAGCAATTCTCCTGCCTCAGCCTCCCAAGTAGCTGGGATTACAGGCATGTGTCACCACGCCGGGCTAATTTTTTGTATTTTTAGTAGAGATGGGGTTCTCCATGTTGATCAGGCTAGTATCAAACTCCCAATCTCGGGTGATCTGCCGGTCTCAGCCTCCCAGAGTTCTGGGATTACAGGTGTAAGCCACTGCGCCCACCCTTCTTTTAAATAATTTTAAGGTTTTTTTCTTGGATGCAATTAAGTTACTTGGAGATAGGTCCTTTCAAGGCATGCATTGATGCTTTGCTGGTTGGGCTGAACTTGGTCTTTAGTGTGGGGCTGATCTGACCGGCCTTTGAGGTGGTTCCCTTCTGAGTGCACAGCCGGATGGCGGGTGCATGACGGGCTTCTCCTCCCCCTGCACCCAGGAGCACGCTTCCCACCAGGGTGAGCTCTGGGAATTGTTTACGGCTCCTTGCCAGCGGTTCCTTCCATCTTTTGGGGGAGGTTCCTCAAAAGCTGCCATACTTGGTTGGTCCTGGGCTAAGGACTCGGGGAAGCCTCTGGGCCTCTCCCTCCTCCCGTCTGCTGTTCTTTCCTCTGCAGCCTCCTGCCCTGTGACTTCAGCCGCCCTGCCAGGATGCTCCACTCTGCTTATCCGGAGGCCCTGGGCTCTCCCTAGGCCCCTCCCTGACCCCATCCTGCAGCTCACCTCGTTTGTGTCGGTTCTTTCAGGGATCACTGCCCTGTGCTGCCGGTCCACTGTTGAGTCATGGCTAAAAACGCGTTGTTTTGTGTATTTGGCCTCGTATTTAGTTAAGGCGGGAGGGTTGATTCACAGCGGTCTGAGGCTGAAGCCGGCGACACACTCCGGTTCTGACCTGTGCGTTCATTTCACGGCTCTTCGCCCACCAGAGTGGGAGCTCCATGGGGTGGGAATATTCTGGTGGGACTGTTGTGGAACGTCTGCTGGTTTTATTCTGCGCCCTGTCCCCGGCTCCCGGCACGCTAGGGCGCGCGTCACCTCTCGGCATACAGAACGCCCAACTGGCCTAGTGTGTCGGGACCCAGGGGTTTCCCGGAACCAGAGCCCGCGTGCCCAGCAGACATGGGGTACTCTGCACCTCAGGCCTGCAAAGATGTTTTAAAGTTCAACAATGAGAAAAGAAAATGTTTTATTTTCTTTCTCACATTGGAAAAAAAACGAAGGCTTTAGGACCCATGAAACTATTACATTTTGCCAAAAACAGGACCAACAACGTGAGTCTTTAACGTAAAGATAATTATTCACATTAGCATTGTTACGGTGAGAGGAGCCCGGAGCACGGGGCTGCCTTCCAGGCCTGCCTTCCGGCTTTGCCAGCGGGGACGGCGCGGAGGCTGAGCGGGCGGCGGCGCAGGGACCCCGCGGGACGGCGCTGGAGGAGCGCGGGCCGGGGGCGGCAGGGTGGGGCGGAGAGCCACGCGGCGTGGGCCAGCGGGCGGAGGCGGCGGCGGGGAAGGCCGGGCTGCCGCGGGTCCAGGTGAAGGTGGTCTGCGCAGGGTCCCCGCGGAACACGTGGGTCTCAGGGGCGCCAGGGAGTCACTGCGTGACGGCCTCCGCGTCGGAGATACGGGTGCCTGGGCTGGCTTCGGGGTCCCAGCGCTCTCCCGGCGAGCCGGCCGGCCGGGGGCGGGGCCTTCGGTGAGCTCGGCTTTGTGGGTGCCCAGGAGGCGGGGAAGGGGCGGGGCCTGTGGTGATTTCAGGTTGTGAGTGGCTTAAGAGGAGGGGAAGGGGCGGGGGCCTGTGGTAATATCGGGTTGGTGAGTGGCTTGGGAGGCGGGGCAGGGGTGGGGCCGGGGCGGGGCCTGCGTTGAGCTTGGCCTGGTGGGTAGCGCAGGAGGCGGGGCAGGGGCGGGGCCTGTGGTGGGGTTGGTGAGTGGCTTGGGAGGCGGGGCCGGGGTGGGGCCGGGGCGGGGCCTGCGGTGAGCTCGGCCTGGTGGGTAGCGCAGGAGGCGAGGAAGGGGCGGGGCCTGTGGTGAGCTCGGGTTGGTGAATGGCTTGGGAGGCGGGGCCGGGACGGGGCCTGCGGTGAGCTCGCTTTGGTGGGTAGCCACGGAGGCGGGGCAGGGGCGGGGCCTGTGGTGATCTCAGGTTGGTGAGTGGCTTGGGAGGCGGGGCCGGGGCGGGGCCTGCGGTGATCTCAGGTTGGTTAGTGGCTTGGGAGGTGGGGCGGAGGTGGGGAAGGGGCGGGGCCGGGGCGGGGCCTGCGGTGAGCTCCGCTTGGTGGGCTGTTCCGGGGCCGGGACTGGGGCTGGGCCTGCAGTGGGCATCTGGCGATGCGGCACGGGTGCTGCGGGGTGTACAGACGCGCGTACGATCTGACCGAGGGAGGGACCTACTGGCGAACGGCCGCGGGGACTCCCAGGCGCGGCGGTGCCTCAAGGTGGTGAAGGTCACAGGTGAGGTCACCCTAATAGCTCTGCTCGCGCCCAGGGCCCTCCCCTCGACCCGGGACTGCAGTCTTTGGGGCGGGGCTCTCCGAGAGGGGGCGGGAAGCTCCAAGCCGCAGGCCTCGCCCGACTCTGGCCTTTGGCATCCTGGGGTTGGCCTGGCAAATGTGTCATGAAAAACAGATTTGTTGTTTTCAGGACGGGTAAGTCTAATTTAGTCCTCCAGGACGGGGATCGACGGCTGAGTATCCCGGCGGAGGATGGGGAAATCATAATCCAGCCCCCACCTCCCCGCTGTAAACCTCTTTCCAGAGGGGAGACATCCCATTCCAAACACCAGACTCAGCCTGCTTCTTCCGGTCTGGCCCAAGTGCCCTCCCAGGGGGCGCTGAAAATGCATTCCCCACAAGCTGGGCACAGCTCATGACTGCTGGGAGCTTCTGCAGTGGCCGAGGACCCAGACGGCCCTAACCAGGGCTCTGGAGGTCTTCCTGGAAGAAGGGGCACCAAGTAGGGACACCCCAGGAGCAGAGGGGAGGGAAACAGCAAGAAGAGACCCAGGCCTTGGGCCCAGTCCTGCCATGGCCAGTCATCGGTCCCCAGGGCCCTGTGTGGGATGGGGGTGAGGACCAGCTCCCATAGGACCTCTGCAGCAACCATCCCCTGGGTGAGGCCCTTGTTTGGGGCTGGTATTTAAGGCCCCTCTGCCTCCCCTTAGCACTGCCCACGCCCACTCCTGCTCTGGCACTGCCCCTCATCCTCCTCCCATCCCTCCCCTGTCCACGCTACAGGCTGTTTTGAGCTTTTGAGGTGCTGCTCTCTGATTGGAATGACCTCACCTCTTCTCCCCTCCTGTCCCATCCCAAGTGTCTCCTCCTCTGGGAAACCTTCCCTGACACCCGGGTGGCCCCTCTGCCCACCCTCATCCCTGCCCAGGCCCCCATGGGTCCTTCAGGGCCCAGCACTGACCACCTGTCTTTGCCCCCTGCTGTGCAGGGCCGTGGCACTCCCGCTAGACCGGCAGCTGTGGGAGGCAGGCCCAGCCCCACGTCCTCCGTGCACCACCCTGAGCTGGATCCAGGGCTGTCTGCCGTCCACCTTCCCACTTCCACGCTGCCCTCCTGCCTGCAGCCATGACTCCCCTGCTCACCCTGTTCCTGGTGGCCCTCATCGGCCTACCTCTGGGTAAGTTGGACAAAGGACAGAGGGATGGACAGGCCCATGTTGAGGGCGGGTGGGCTGAAAGTAGGGAAAGAGGCCAGAATTCCCAGCAGCCACCCCTCCTTCCAGCCCCCTGCCCTGGGGACGGTGATGGACTGGGGTCTGGTGGCCGGAGGAGGGGACTCTCATGTTCTGTGACCCCCGTTCCCTTCCCACCCATCTGCCGGCCCAGCCCAGGCCCTGGACTGCCACGTGTGTGCCTACAACGGAGACAATTGCTTCAACCCGATGCGCTGCCCGGCTATGGTTGCCTACTGCATGACCACACGCACCTGTGAGTCTGCAGGCCCCGCATGGCCCTGCCTGGGGAGCACGCGGGGAGGTTCTGCCCTGCCCCTGAGCATGTCGGGTCCTGAGGGCCGTTCCCTCAAGGCCTTGCATGCTGGGGTGGGGCCGGCTGTGCCCCCGGCCCTCTACGGGGAGCTGGCTCACCAACCCACCCCCCTGCAGACTACACCCCCACCAGGATGAAGGTGAGCAAGTCCTGCGTACCCAGCTGCTTCGAGACCGTGTACGATGGCTACTCCAAGCACGCATCCACCACCTCTTGCTGCCAATACGATCTCTGTAACGGCGCCGGCTTTGCGGCCCCAGCGACCCTGGCCCTGGCCCCCATCCTCCTGGCCACCCTCTGGGGTTTGCTCTAAAGCCCCCCAGGCAGACCCAGTCAAGAACAAAGCTCTCAGGAGACGCCGCTGCACCCTCCACCCCGCTGGCCCCGCCTCACTCTCCGCCCTCCCTGGACCTCCTCAGCCACGCCCAGGACCTGGGCCTGTGGGCAAGAGGACGCCTGACCCTGGCCGCCTCTCCCCCAACCACCACGCGACCTCACTTCCAGGCCTTGACCTTTGGCTTCCTAAAGGCTGATGTGTGGGGTCCCAAAAGTGTCTGGCCTTGGTGGGCTCAGCCCCGCGCCTGTCCGGGGCTGGGGGCTTCTGGCACAGTGCTGTTTATGGGGAGGGGCCCAGTCAGGCGAGGAGCACTGAGCAGATGGGTGCTGTGACCAAGCCCACCTTCTGGGAAGGCCCTGCCTCCGCCTGCCCAGGCTGTGCTGGGGCGGGGAAGACAAGGAACCTGGCGGGACTCAGGAGGAAGGGCTCTTCCAGGCCAAGGACCGCTGCCATGCTTCCTCGTGAGGCCAGGAGCTGCCCGGCGGGTGCGGGGTCCGGCTGTGGGAGGAAGGCCTTGGGCACCGTCCCCGTGCTCGGAAGGCTGCCAGGCTGCCTGGGAGCCACCCCTGGCAGGGGAGGGGGCGGCTCTGCCTCAGCAGGCCCCCAAGACCCCCGAAGCTGCAGAGGCTTTTCCGGGTCCGGTAAAGGGGTCTGTGTCCCCTTGCCCCGTCAAAACCCTTGACCTTTCCCGCCCCCTCACAGGGAGGGCGCCGGGCCTGAGGCTGGCAGGAGCTGGGCTATATTTGGTGTGACCTGGTCGCTGCCCAGGCCAGCGCTATTCAGGGCAGGGAGGGAAAGGGGCAGGGCCGGGCAGGTGGCCTGCTGAGGCCTGGTCCCCAACCACAGCAGGGCCTGGCGGAGCAGGGCTGGGGGCTGCACCCATGGGCCAGGGGTCGGGAGCAGCCTGGGGCAGGCGAGGGCGTGGGGAGGTGGGAGCGTGCCGCCCTCTTGTGGCCACGAGAGGGCGGGGGTGGGGAGCGCGGAGGCCCAGCCCCTCCCCACAGCAGGACTGGGTCAGTGACTGGGTGCCCCAGCGCCCTGCACCTGGGACTGCTTTGGCAGGGAGGGCGGGGCGGAAGCCCCAGTTGGGGGTGGGGACTCCCAGGGACTCCCAGGGACTGGGGCCAGTGGGGGCCATCAGTCACGCTGCCCCGAGGCCCCCGCCGGACCAGTGCCCCCGGCTCTGCTGTCCTCGGAGGAGCCCTCCAAGCGCTTCAAGCCGTCCTGTGTGGGCAGGATGGAAACAGACGTCCACGCAGTGACTGCCCCTGCCCCAAAGTGTGGCCCTGGTCAGGGGAGCCCCTGCTGGAAATTGCTTCTGGAGAGCTTTGGCGTGGGACCCCGGGGGAGGGGGGAGGAGTCTGCAGCCCGGGGTCTCCTTGCAGCCAGTCTGCCTGCAGGCCTGCGTGGTGCTCCTGGGCTGACATGAGGACCAGAGGGGGGCAGTGTGGGAACGGGCCTGGAATGGGAGGAATGTGACTCCCCAGAGGGAAGAGGGACGTCATACAGGCCAAGAGCTGGGAAGGAGCTGCTGCCAGCACTCCCTTCCCCCCCACCCCCAGAGCAGGCCTGGCCCGGGGCGGCTGCGAGGATGCCAGCTGCCTCCTGAGGCCTCTCAGCTGCAGCCGGCAAGGCCTTGCGATGTTTGCTGGGAGGGAAGTGGCTTTGGGCGCCCCCAGCCCCAAAGGCTCCCTGTCCGTGGGAGGCCTGGGAGCAGTCACCGCTGTGTGCAAGCCTCTTGTCCAGTCGGGTGACTTCCTGGGCCAGGGCTGGGAGGGGCTCCACGATCAGGTCCTCCCTGTCTCATGGCTCAGTGGGGTAATGGGGAGGAGGCCTGGCCACGCGGGGCTCAGCGGGAGCAGAGAGCAAGGAGCTGCCTTAGCTGTGAGTGCCGGGGTGTTGAGGGGTGGGGTGGGCAGTTTCTCACCCCTGCCTCCTGCCTCCATCTGTCCACCGTTCCCCCACCCTGACCTGCCCCAGCTCCACACTGACAGCACTGTCCCCAGCGCCACAGACCATTCTGTGTGGCTGGCCTGCCCTGGGCACCTGGCACAGAGCACACAGTAGGCACTCGGCGAGTGCTGGCCAGGCCCGCTCGTGGGGAGTGCACAGTGTGCAGCGGGGTCCGGGCAGCAGTGCCAGCGGAGGCCACACCAGTCCACTGGTCCCGCTGTGTTCATCAAGGTGGCGGCGGATGTGGGCCCCCCCACTGCACTGTGGCTCTGAGCACTGTCCAGAAGCCCTGCGAGATGGGAGCCATTATCCTGCTCCCTTGATGGGGAGGAAACTGAGGCACAGGGAGGTGAAACAGCTGCCCCCAGTAGTGCCTCCTGGCCCTCTCACCACCCAGGCACCACGGCGTAGCCGCTTCTCCCACCAGCTGGGGTTCCTTGGACCCCCAAGCCTGCGAAGGGGTAGGTGAGTTTACAAAATGGAAAGCTTAGAAGAAGCAACGTGGAACGGGAGGTTTGAGAAGCCCTGGGTCGTAGGGTAAGCCTCGGCGCTGCCTGTGGGTGCCAGCCTAAGTGGGAGTAGAGGGAGGGGCGCCGGCCACCCCGGGGGTCCAGTTCCCACTTCAAGGTATCTCGCCGGCAGAACCGAGGGTCCCTTGATGGGGTACATGCCCAGGGCTATCCGTGCCGCTGTCTGTGCGTCCTGGAAGTTCCCGAGCGGCTCAGGAGTGGCTGCTTGGGGGGCTCTGGCTCCCTAGATGTTATACCTTCTCCTGGGAACTGGAATCAGCCACTAAGGAGAAGTGAGAGCTGCAGGTGGTGACCCTGGGGTGGGACATGGGACCTTTCCCAGCATCGGCAAGGAAACCAGCTCCGGGAGGAGCCCCGGTCTGGCCTAGGGTCTGTGAGGGGCGGGGCTGCGGCCCTGGGCAGGCTTCCTCCAGGTGGGGGTCCCGGGGAAGTGGGGCCAGGCCGGCTCCCAGGTAGTGCCTGATTCGCCTTCTCTCATGAAGGTGATTAGGTTCAAAATTCTAAAACTCTGAAAGCGGTCAGAAGCAGCAGAGAGGCCCCCATGTCAGACATGCCAGGCTTTTCTGTGGGTGCTTGGTTCTGCTACTCTGATGGGCATAGGTGTCAGCTGAATGGATGGCGTCTCTCCCTCTTGTCTTATGTCCTGGGGTCCAGGTGCTTCCCAGGGCCATGCCCTGCTGCTCATGCTTGCCCTAACCCTAGCCCTAACCCTAACCCTAACCAGGATGTGGACCTCCACCCCCAGGTCGCTCTCTCCCTGGCCCACCATGTTCCCAGCACCCAGGAGAGGTCCAGCCAGCGTCTCACTGAGCAGTGAATAAATGAACAGATTCCCGTCTCGCTGCAGCCCCACTGCCTCGGCCTGAGCTCAGGACTCGCCTTTCCAGCCCGGCTGGGCGGGCCCTCCGGCCTCCACGAAGCTGCTCTCCCGTCCACCCCACCCGCCAGGCCCCGGGCTTTTCCTGCCTCCTCCAGGCCTGGCCTGTCCCCAAAGCCAGGCCTGGAAGGGAGACAGGCTGGGCTCCTGAGGCTTGCCGAGTATTGCCCCCAGTTCTGTGGGAGAGAGGCCGAGCCCCCATGCCATCTAGGGGCAGACAAGCCCCTGGGGAAGGCTGGGGGTGCTGGGTAAGGGGGGCGGGACCCCAGGACCCCAGGACCCCAGGACCCCATCCCACCGTCTCTGACCTCTGGCTACCTAGCTCCCGACTCCAGCTTCTCAACTCCCCGGGACGGAGGGCCTGCACCTGCCTGCCCCTCTTTCAACATCTCCCTCCTCCTGGGCCCACCTCCCAGCCCTAAGGAGCCCCCCAGACAGAAGTGCGGACGGAAGCCATGTGGGCAGCCCGAGAGACACACAGAGGCCCCTGGTTGTCAGGGCTGACTCGCTGCAGACAGGCCCTTTGGGGCCCCAGTCCCTCTCCAGCCTTTGGAGGAACCGCCAATGGCTCCCGCTGTCCCGGCTGTCCCTTCCGGACTCTCACTTTATCCTTGGGGCCCCTTTTATTACCAAGGGCCCTTCTGCCCGCCCCCCCACCAACTCCTGCGCACAGATCCTGGGGCATTAGTCACAGTGTGACAATGGCCGTGAGCGCTGGTACAGAAGACGGAGAGGCTGCTCACGTCGCGCTCCCTCCGCTCTCCCAGCCCCGGGAGGGACGAGGTGGGAAAGTTCTGGCCCCTCTGGAGGAGGTCTTGTCATCCAGCTCCCTCGAGGGTGGGGTACAGGTGACAGTCTCCAGTCTCCGGCTTCCACCCAGCCCTGAGCCTCAGGTGCATTTTGAGGAGGAAGGGGTGGGCTGGTGGCTGGTGCCAGACCCTCCTTCCCAGCCGCTGAGGAGACCGGCTTGTGGCGGTCGTCTGCCTGGTGCCAGGCCATTTTATGGGATCCTCCATCCCATCACCCAGGGTTATCCCTACTTATGGACAAGGAAAGATGGCTCATGAGGTTCCACAGGCCCGCCCGGAGGCCTAAGCTTGGCCTCAGACTGCCTGGACCCCGGCCCGGCTCCTTGGCTAAGTCTGGCTGCCGGGTGACTCAGACCCGCAGAGTCTGTTGCGCGGGTGAGGGCCAGGCGGGGTGCCAGCAGGTATAAGGCAGCCGGCCAGGGTGCCCAGAGCCCCACCTCGCCAGGAGAACATGCAGCTGCACCAGGGGCTCCTGCTGGCCGCCGTCCTGAGCCTGCCACTGGGTGAGTCCGGGGCTGGTCCACCTGCTCTCGCCCAACCCCTGTCCCCCAGCCCTGGGCTGCGATGCCACCTTGGAGAACCCGTTCCTGTCCTCCCACCAGCTGTCAGTGGCAGCTGTCCTCCCAAGGCCTCCTGCAATCCCACAGGCCCGTCCAGCTCAGCCCCAGCCCCCGCACTGACCCCCACACTTCTCAGGGTGCACAGCCCTTGGCTCAAACCTCCCTTCCTCTCCCGAGACCCCCTCCGTCCACAATGGCTCCCTCCCACGCGCACCTTTGCCCGCGCGCTCTGAATGTGCCCCTCCAGCCCTCCTGGGCCTGGCCTCCGGCTGGCTTGTCTCCCTGGACTCCCTCCTCCCTCCCCCAGGAAAACCAGGTCCCTCTGCTCGCCGGTCTGCAGTCCCGCCTCCTGAGTCCTCTCCTCTGCCCCCTGTTTCCCTGGGCGATTTTACCCACTCCCCATCCCCAACCCTCGCCCCCACAGTGCCCGAGTCCGCTACGGCTGGCCCCATCCCCCCAACTTCAGATCCCTTGGCCCAGGGCCTTCCTGGGGGACCCACAGGGTGACCCCTCAGCACAGCCGTGCACACCTGGCCTTGGCATCCCCAGCAGGGCCGGGCACTCTCTCTTGGCAAGGCATCTTCTCCCCCACCCTGAGGCCTCAACAAAACCAGCTGGCCCCTTGATCTTCCCACCACCCCACCCGGAAACCCAGCCCAGCTCCCCAGGGGCCGAGCTCTGCTTCCCTGGCATCGGGTGGGAGGTCTTGGGCAGCCCGATCCCCCCAGGCCCTGCGTGAGCAGGCAGCGGATGTCAGAGTCCCTGAGCGGGCTCAGGTGCCTCGCATACCTCCAGTCTCCGTCCCCAGGGGCGCCCTCCTGGCCTATGAGAGGCTGAGCCACTGCTCTGAGGACTGCCGCAGGGTCAGGAGGGGAGACCGGCTCTGTGCGGAAGGTCCCAGATGCACTGGGGGAACTTGGGGGCTCAGGGTGACCTGGAGAAAGCCTTTATCACCATCAGGGCTGGACACGTGGTCGTGTGGCCACCAGGGCCGGGAGCGGCACATCACAGGAGGCTCCGCCTGGATGCCCCGTGCCCACGGACTCCCCTCGGACCCAGAGGCCCCTCCCTGCTGAAATCCCACCTGCCCCTCGAGGAACAAGCCCAGGCTGTCTCACTGCTCTTCCAGCTGGAGGACGGGGGAGCCTCTCTCAGGGGCACCCACATCCCCCGTCGTTGCTTGGTGTCTGCTCTCTGCCACCCACGGACGGCACGATCTCCCTGAGGGGCCAGCCTGCTTCAGAGCCAGCACAGGGGTCCCCAGAGGGGGAGACCCGCCACCAGCCACGCAGCGGCAGCCGGAGCCCATCCCACCGCCCCGTTTTCCCTCCAGCTTTTCCTGCCCCTTCCCTCACCTGCCGATCCCCCCACTTCCTTCTCACTCCTTCCCCTCCTTCTTTCCTCTCCTCCTCCCGCCTCTTCTCCCCCCAACATCCCCGCCCTGCCTCCCTCCTCTCTCCCCGTGTGTCAGGCACCAGTCTGAACACTGTCCCTGTGTCCCCTCAGTCACCATCGAGCAGCCTTTCCTGTTTGAAGCTAAAATTTTCTCTGCCTCCCTCAGAATCTCATTGATGAAAATGAAAACCCTCTGATAAGGGACAGAATTATTTTTCTTGATGACCCAGGCTGAACACCCCCACCCCCGGAATTCATTCATCCTGCAAGCCTCTCCTGGGCCCCATTGCATGCAGGGGAGGGAGCACTGAGGAGTGGGTAGAACCCCCCACCCTGCCTCAGAGGCCCTCATGCTTGGGTGGGGGTGAGGAGGGAGCCCTGAGCACAGTCACATGCAACAGCTGGGGCAGGACGATGCAGCTCACGTTGGGTGTGTCAGAGTTGGGTCTGTTTACTCTGCCCTGGAAACCTATGAGGCCTTTCTGGAGGAGGTGGCATTTACACTAGGGCTTGTTTGCTCAGTGGGCAGAAGGAGCAGCAAGTTTGAAGCCAGGGAGGCGTTGGGAGGGTGGGTGTGTGCAGGGGGGCAGGCAGGGGCTGGTTCTCTCCATGGCACCCTTGGGCACACATATCCTCACCTCTTCCTTCCGGTGCCCCAGCCTCCTGCCTGTCTTCCCTGCTACCCCTCACCCCAACCAGCTGTGGTCTGTGAGAGCCAGTGTCCGGCAGAGCATGTCCGGCTTATTGGCTGTCACTAGGTTGGATGTGACAGCCAAGGGGAGCTTCAAGCCACTTTGGTGGGAAGCGGCAGGGCGGGGCTTGGAGGCAGCTGTCACCACGTTTCTTGCTGGAAGGTGTGGTCTCAGCTTGCTCTCTGGGGCTGGCAGAGGGACCAAAGCTGATGGCAGCTGCCAGCCGTGGTGGAAACTTCCCGTCTGTGTCACCCTCTCCGTGGTGCCTCGGTGGGGGATTCCACCCTCAGGACCCAGGGGCGACCGGAGGACTCTGGCAGGGCCTGGCATGCGCTGAGGTCTGAGTCGGCTCAGCGCCGGTGCGTGCAGTGCCACGCGGACCGGAACCCGGGCGTGGAGCTGGGCTGACTGCGGCCGACGCCGGCCCTTCTCCACCTTTGGCAACCGTGAGGCGGGGGCAGCCCGGCAGAGAGGGGACAGGGCGTCCCGAGGCTGGGCTGCCTGGGCAGCGCTCGAGAGGAAGCCGGGGCCCACGCCCGCCGATGTCCGTGACACAGTAGCCCTCACGTCCCATGGTCACGCCGTCCGCCCCGCCACCCTGCAGGCTCTATGCAGAGGGAGCAGGCCCAGGGCCAGCAGGCATTAGCGACTCTGTTTACCCAGTCCTGGGTGTGTGAACAGGGGGTGAGGACAGGGAGCGAGGGAGGGAGGGAGGGGGTTTGAGGCTGGGAAATGGAGGGAGGTGACCTGGGAGGAGAGGACAGAGACAGGGACGCAGAGGGCCAGAGAGCAGGCAGGGAGGCCCCTTGCTGGGGTGCCCAGGCGGACTGGCGGGCCTCGGGGGTGGGGCGGTGCCCACAGCAGAGAGGGCGGCTGGGCAGACCACAGCAGCGCTGGCGGAAGAACAAGTGTCCCCCGAGCTCACCGTCCTCCTGGGTAAAGTGAGGCAGAGCTTCCGCTCCCCGCTGCTGCTCGGGCGCTGCCATGTCCTGGTCGCCCTTGCCCTGGGCGCCCTGTGGAGGCAGGAGCGGCCCCATTGTCTCAGCCACCAGAATCCAGTCCCGGGGGTCTCAAGCGTCCTGCTCAGTGCCTGGAGGCAACAGTGGGCAGAGATCGTGTCTCAGGGCCCCCCACCTCCCCCCGCACCCCACCCAGGGCCCCAAACAGCCCAGGCTGCTGCACCCCCACTCCCCTGGGACATCACACTGCCTGGCCCCACCTGCCCGAGACTCCTACCCGGGCAAGGATGCAACCAGCTGGCTCCAGCCGCAGGGACAGCTGGCACCCCAGGATGAGGGACAGGGGCCCGGCTCCTGAGAGGGGCGAATCACAGGGTTGGGAGACTGAGTGGGTGCCGTCACTGCAGAAGTGGCCCACACCTGCCTCCCGCCCCGTTTCTGTCCTGTCTGTCCCCATGCCCACGGCTACAGCTCAAGCCATGTGGTGTCACCAGTGCCAGGGCTTCGGAGGGTGCTCCCGCGAGTTCAGATGCCCCAGGGACTCCACACACTGCGTCACTACTGCCACCCGTGAGTGGGGACTTTGCGGGCTGCCCACAGCCTTCTTGCCCAGATGGGAAGATGTGGGCTCAGAGGGGGACAGAGCCTGATCCAGGCCCCCAGGATGTCAGAAGCACAGAGGGCAGTGTCCCCACCCATGCCCGGGAAAGGGCATGAGCAAGGGCCGCCAGTCTGCCCCAGAAGTGCCCGCATGCTTCATGTACCTGGGGCATCTGACCCTAGCTCTGCGGCCGATGGGGCGGCGGGGTCTGGGCAAATCAGAGCCTCAGGGGGCTCCATGGTTTCTCTCCTGCCCACTCAGGGGGCCTGAACAACCCCGGGGACTTGCCTCTGGTCACCAAGTCGTGCCACAGGGGCTGCCCCGATATTCGCGGCCTGGGCCTGGGCCCCTATGTGTCCATCGCTTGCTGCCAGTCCAACCTCTGCAACCAACAGTGACGGCCGCCCTCCTCCAGGACCTGGATGCTCCGCCCCACAGCCCCACCCCAGGCCTGGCGCTCAGGGCCACCCTCCCTCGAGCCTGGCCAGACCACACTCCCGGCCTCTGCAGTCACCATCCAGCACCCGCTGTCCTCGGGAAGTCCTTCATGGAGTCCTGCTTAAGTCTGCTGCTGTCCAAGCCCGGGGCCCTTCAAGCCTGCCAGCCCTCCCAGTCCTGACCTCCCCGCAATAAAATGTGATTGGATCACTTGACACAAGCTGTCCAGTGAGCGTGGAGCCCCCGCCATCCTGGGCTTGGGGGTGGAGTGGAGTGGATGGGGGGTGCCTTGCTCCCTCACCCCAGGCTAAACCCTCCCACCCCTCCCCCACCTGCCCTCGTCACAAACAGGCCCTCCCGCCTCCAGCCAACCATCAGGCCTGAAGGGCACAGGGCCCAGGCCCACCAGGCAGCTGCTGCTCCTGAAGCAGCCACAGTGGAAGGTGGAGCTGGGTCCCACGAGGAGCCCCCACCCCGGAGCGGGAGGTGGAACGTCCCAGCAGAGACGTGGAGGATGTGCAGGGTGGAGGCGGGAGGGGGGCCCTTGACAAAGACAGCTGCAGCAGGTCTTCTGGATAGGGAGGGAAGATGGAGGGAAGAGGGGCGAGGCGGGCATCCTCACCCTCATAGAACCCCTGGGCCAGTGGTCCGGCCTGCCCCTCAGTTCTGGCAGGAAACACTACCGCCAGCCCCTCTGGGCCACTGGGTACCCAGCACGCAGGGCAGGGCCCTGGGGAGTGATGCTGGAGTGGGATGAATCCGGCTGAGGTGATGGCAGCTGTGGTCACCCACCGCAGGGTGGACGTGGAAGCTGTTTTTCACTAGACAAACATCGTGTCATGGCCGAGCTTCCGGCGCCAAGGCTGAAGAAGACCCCCACGTAAGGCCGGTACTGCCGTCGAAGAGACCCTCCAAGGCGAGTCAACACTGCAGGACACGGCTCCCTCCCTCCCTCCCCCTGCCCCCCCCCCACACCGAGTTAGCACCTGCCAAGACACCACTGCCAGGCCCTTCCTGTGGTGTTTCTTGTTCTCACCTTGGCAAAGTTCTCATGAGAAATCATCTGAGGCCATTGTCAGGCTGCTCCACGAGGCGGGGGTGTCCCAGGTGGGGCCACCCACAGTTAGGTGTAGGACGCAGAGGAAGACACAAACCGGGCCCTGGAGATGCCCAGATAAGCCCAAGAATCAAGGTGACAATGGAGTGCTTCCCAGATCTGCGGGGGAGGGATGGGGCACGCGGGCAGCCACTGCCGCTGGGCACTGCGGAGGGAACAGGGTCAGGTTGGATCCTCAGCGCCCTCGCCAAAGGCATTCCAGCTGAATCAGAGGTCTCCATGTAAAAAGAGGAGATTTTTAAATGCTAGACAATGCAGAACAGAAAAGCGAGACACATTCCAGAACGGATTGGACACAGAGTCACTGTAAACACAGCCGTTCCACCCCTAGGCCCAGCCCAAGAGAAGCGAACACGTGGCCACACAGAAGCCTGTGCACAAACGTTTGCACGGCGGGCAAAGGGTGGAAAAGCCCAAGTGCCCATCAGCTGATGACGGAGCCGCAGAGACACACCACGGACTGTCATTCAGCCATGTAAAGGAACAGAGCGCCATCCACACCAAAAATGGGGGCCTTGGAAACACGACGCTGCGTGACAGAAGCCACACAACACAGGCCAAGAAGTGGCCTGAACAGGGAGCGCTACAGGGAGGAAAAGGGGGTGGGTGGTTGCCAGGGAGCGGTGGCGGTTATTAAGAAACAGGGAGAAGCTGGGAGCGGCGGCTCGCGCCTGTAATCCCAGCGCATTGGGAGGCCAAGGAGGGTGGATCACCTGAGGTCAGGAGTTTGAGACCAGCCTGGGCAACATGGTGAGACCCTGTCTCCACAAAAAACACAAAAATTAGCCAGGCGTGGTGACACATGTCTGTAATTCCAGCTACAGGGGAGCCTAAGGGGGACAATCCCTTAAACCTGGGAGGCAGAGGTTGTAGTGAGCTGCGATCACGCCACTGTACTCCAGCCTGGGCCACAGAGTGAGCCTGCATCTTTAAAAACAAACAAAAAGAAACAGGGAAAAACCAGTGTGCTTTTCCTACTCTCAGGCGGTACAGGACTTCACCCCATCACCAAGGCGTGTGTGTATTTCTCTCCAGCGGCGAACAGCCCAGCCTGCAGTGGACACCGGCTGGGTGTTCTCAACTCAGTTCTGAGCCATCCGCATGGAGGTCACGTCAGATCCCTCGGGTCGAGTCCCCTGCCACGAGCCTTACTTCCAATGCCAGTCAAAAGCCCCAGGTGTGGCCTGTGCTTCCGACCCACCTGCCGTGACTCAGGGTTCCCACGACCCCCTCTTCAGGTTTGCTGATCTGCTGGAGCGGCTCACAGGACGCAGGGACACACTGAGCTGCGTTTACCCATTTATGACCCAGGCTGTGATGAAGGTGCGGGCACACAGCCTGGGGAGGAGACCCAGGGCACGAGGGCGAAGAGCTCCCGGGCCCTCCTGGCACCATCTCCAGGCACCTGCGAGAATTCTGCTCCCGGAAGCTCCCTGAACCCTGTCCCTTTGGGAAATTTACTGAGGAGGCTTCATTACGTAGGCATGATTGATCAAACCACCAGCCACTGATCAACCCAACCTGCAGCCCCCTCCCCTCCCCTGAAGGCTGGGGGGTGGGGCTGGAGTCCCAGCCCGCTGATCCTGCCGGCCCCCATCGCAAGGCTCCCTGGAGACCCCCAGTCACCAGTCCGCTCGTTAGTGTACAAAAGACGCCCTTGTCACTCCGGAGATTCCAAGGGTGTTAGGAGCTGTGTGTCAGGAAACCGAAATATCCATCTCACAATCTCACAAAATAAGCATTTCACGGTCTCACAGGAATGGGGCCACGATGGGGCTACAGCATTCAGGGTTTCTTTTCAGGATGATGAAAATGGGCCCAAACTTCGTGTACTAAAAACCGCTGAGTTACACACTTCGCCGGGGGGCTGCATGCTCACGAAGGATATTTGATAAAGCTATTGAAAATTTTAGAAAAAGAAATACAAGACACAAAACTGGATTGGAATTCATAAAAACTACCTAAAAATCTAAAAAACTAAGATAAGAATACTGTAAACAAACTGAAAGACAAGACAAGCTAAGAAATGGGCCCCATGCACGTAACACACGATTCCCTCCGCGCATCGCGTCCATGGAAAGAGTCGAACGCTGTGAAATATTTGAAGACATTTATTCTGAGCCAAAATGAGGGGCCATAGCCCATGACACAGAAGACCCTGCGAACATGTGTCCAAGGTGGCTGGGCATAGTCTAGTTTCACACATTTTAGGGAGACTGAAGACGTCCGTCAAATACATGGAAGATGTATTCGGGTCCATCTGGAAAGGCGGGCACCTCCAGGGGACGGGGCGGGGGGCTGCAGGTTTCAGGTGGATTTAAAAATTTTCTGATTGGCAATTGGTTGAAAGTGTTAAGATTGTCTAAAGACCTGGAGTCCACAGAAAGGAATGTCTGATGATGAGGGTTGCGGAGACCAGGGTTTTAGCAACAGGTGAAGCCTCTGGGTAGCGGGCTTCCGAGAGGAGGTGGTACCTGTTTCTCATCAGACTGAAGGTCTGTGTCGACCACAGAGCTGCTCCGCCTCCCCGAATTCCTAGAGAGAGGGGGATAAGGAGGCCGTCCGGCCCTTTCCCGTCATGGCCCGAACCAGTTTTTCAGGCTCACTTTGGGTACCCTAGCCGAGAAGAGGGTCCATTCAGATGGTTGGGGTCCCTTAGAATTTTATTTTTGGTTTACGATAAATAACCCTTCCGGATCCCCAAAGAACAACAGATATGAGCCGCGTGTTCAGAGAAAAAGCCATCAAGTGGCCAAGCCAAGGAGAAGAAATTGAACCGCACTTGGAATCAGAGAGGCACCAAGCAGCCTTGCAAACTCCGCGCGGGACCGCAGCGGGGCCGCGTGGCGAGAAGGGACGCGGACCAGCCTCTGCGCCATCACAGATGCGGCCGCACAGGACAAATCAGCCCTGGCCACGGAACTGCAAGATGCCACGAGCATTGGGGTGAATGCTGGCTCCCTAAAACATTGCCAAAGACCCAAGGGCAGGTCACCCCAGTGCTCCCCAGCACTCCTGGGGCTGGAGTCTGAAATGAGGTAGGTCTTCCAAGGTGGGGACTTGGTTAGGGTTGAGCCGGGATTCTGAAAACGTAGTTTAGAATTCTGAGGCTACAGGTGCTGAGTCTTGAGGTGCCCCCTTACGGTTTCTACTGAAGAGTCACCAGGCCTTTTGGGAAGCTCCTCAGTAACTGATAGCTATTTGCTGCTTTATCTTCCTGGAAGCGTGAGTGCAGGACCAGAGATGCAGCCTGGAAAGTCCTGGTCTAGGCCGGGGGCGGTGTCACGCCTACAGTCCCAGCAATTTGGGAGACTGAGGGGGGCGGATCCCTTGAGGTCAGGAGTTCAAAACCAGCCTGGCCATCATGGTGAAACCCTGTCTCTACCCAAAATACTAAAGTTAGCCAGGTGTGGTGGCGTGTGCTTGTAATCCCAGCTGCTCGGGAGGCTGAGGCAGGAGAATCACTTGAACCCTGGAGGCCAAGGCTACAGTGAGCCGCACTCCAGCCTGGGTGGCAGAGCGAGATTCTGTCTCAAAAGAAAAGAAAGAAAAGAAGGTCGTGTTTCCCATGGACAGCAGCCCCGTGGGCAGGGAGCTGGCATGCGTTCTCATTGTGAACAAGCCCCCTGCTCCTAACGGTGGCACAAAGAACGTGCGCAGACAGACGTTCCCCAGTTTCCTCATCCTGAAACTGGACGACCTCGCCTCCGTGAGTGCCGAGGCTGGCCCTGTAGGACACATCCCTTTTGGAAGGACGCGGGAGACCTCCCTCCGACACACAACCCTTGGGGCTGCTTGTGCCTCCGCTTCTTTTCAAACAGAAACGTTGCTTTGAGAGCCGTTGGTCTGCCCTGCTAGAGCCCCTCAGGAGGGTGACCGGGAGAGCCATCCGCCAGGTGGGGCTGCCCTTGAAACTTCGGGAAGGAGACCACCCCGAGGGCGGCTGAGGAGGAAGGCGCCCCAGCCCTGGGGCTAGACACAGAGAGGACTCCCCCGGGCTCTGGTGAAG